CTATTTAACAAAATTAAATTAACTTATCCTGCGGTGTTTTGGGGGAAGATGTCTGCTAGGAGCCAGGTGATAAGGAGCTCAGCTGGGGTAGGAGGGAGAATGGACTTGGGGGAGAACCCATTCCATGCAGGCAGTTGCCTGAGGAAGGCGCAGGAAGGGTTCTTTTGCTGGATGCCAGAAGGGTAGGGTGGGAGTTAGGCTGGCGCAGGTCACGAGGGCCTCCCTTGCACAGCAGGGAATTCAGATTTCACCCTGAAGGTGATGAGAATCACTGAAGGGTGAGCGGAAGGAAAGTGACTGATCAGATTTGCGCTTTGTAATCATCTTACGGGGAGCAGGAAGCATGCATGACGTGTAGGGCAAAACTTGGTGGGGAAGATTATTTAGAAGGTTACTGACCAGCTTCAGGCGAGAAGTGATGAAGCGTATGAACAGAGACGGGCAGTGGGCTCAGAGCGGAGGACTCATCATCCCATGGCCGGACTCTGCTTGTCTTTGACTTCTCAACTCCAGCATGGATTGCATTTTGTTGCTCCCCCCAATACCACCCACAACCTTTCTATGGATTCCACGCTGATTTTCATCTTGGTGTTGCTGACAATTTGCAGGAACTCTTCTTCAGGATTTGGTGACTTTAGGACAACAAGAACCTTCTCTGGGCCTAGCACTCTGCCTGCCTTTCTCAGCCTGAAAGCCCTGGGAGGAAGCAGGTGGCGCCCCACGCCGCCTCGCAGGAACAGAGGCGCCGGCAGGAGCTGGGGGCCTCTGCGCCAAGGCACAGGCGGTGGCGAGTGGGGATGCTCCCTGAGCCCCAAGCAACAGCCTGGTAAGGAACCTCGATCGTCGATCGTCGTCGCCTTTCTGAGTTCAGTTATTGTATTCGTTTCCGTCAAGCATATACACAGTCTGTGGAATGCTTATGAAACAGAGGTGACTTTTCTTCCAGTTCCAAGCTCCCCTCACGCGGGGCACTTGCTCAGGTTGTACTCACAAAGGAGCTGTGTCAGTGGTCAAAGAAATCAAATACTTCCCTCTCATTCGGTGGAGAGCTGCTCCCTGAAACCACTTTCCTGGCCACCTCCGTCAGTCCCTCCTCTAGGTTACTGTAGACATTCCTATGCCTCCGGTAATTAAAGGGGTAACTCCCTGCAGCAGAGTACCCGAGCCCCTGCCCTTTCTCCAAGCTGCTCCTCTGTTTTGCTTATTGGTTTGCCCACCGCCCCTGGCTGTTAAATATTCTACCATCCACTCCTGTTTTCAGTAAAAGGGTAAACATTTCGGCACATATTGGCACAAGAAAGGATCTCCCTGAATCAAATGTTTAAAGCACAATTCTGGCCGGGCGCAGTGACTCACACCTGTAATCCCACTACTTTGGAGGCCAGGCGGTGTGAGATCACCTGAGGTCAGGAGTTCAAGACCAGCATGGCCAAAAGGTGAAACCCGTCTTTACTAAAAATACAAAAAATAGCTAGATTGGTGGCGTGCGCTGTAGTCCAGCTACTCTGGAGGCTGAGGCAGAGAGTCACTTGAACCTGGAAAGCAGAGGTTGCAGTGAGCCGAGATTGTGCCATTGCACTCCAGCCTGGGCAACAAGAACAAAACTCTATCTCAAAAAAAAAAAAAAAAAAAAAAAAAAAAAAAAAAAAAAAAAAGCACAGTTCTAAGAAGTAAAGATAATCATATAAAATAAATGACAAAACACAAGAACCCGTACAAAATCAGTCACACCACCAATACATATTGAATAGTTTGAACAATTTCTGATATATTTTACTTTAATATAAAAAGATAAAATATAAAATCTTGTCCTGCAGTGGTGTTACAAGAAAAGGTCAGTGAGCAGCAACTAATCTTTTATTCTCAAAGGCTGAAGAGTATAGAGCTATGTGTGCAAGGTGTAGCTTTGAATGTTACTAAAAAAACACGGTGGAGAATTTCACTTTAATAATGAACAAGTACTCACAGGGCAGCACATATACAGTTTATTTAGATTGCCCTTTAGAATATTTATAGTGACACTCCAGCTCCTTATCAAATAAATACTTGCTGTTCATTTGAACTGGAGTTATTATGGGGAAATGACTTTGGATTCCACAGCGTTCTGCTGCATTATAAAGGTCTGGCCTGCCATCATTCCACAAAATGGTTTAGCAATTGCTACAACATTTTCTCTAAATGAGAGTAATCTGTCCACATATGAAATTTGAAAACATTCTATTATTTACGATGATAATAAAAACTGTAAGTATCTATATAGACAGTAGAGTTCTTTTATAACTTAAAATAACCTACACATTTTTAAACAGAAAATTTGCCTCCACAGTTTTCAAGCAAAAATAAACATACGTGTGCATGTGTCTTTATAGCAGCCTACATTAAAAAAGGATCAGAGAATAAGAAAAGACAGATAAGCATATATTGACAAGTGACTGTAGATTATATTTATACCTGCAAATGTGATTGTAGAAACCTAGAATGACCAGATTCCCTGTTACATGTCTGAAAGGAAATTCCTTGCCATCAAGGTGCAATCCCTTCCTTTGAATTCAGTGTCAAATTTGCCTTTCTTTGAACTAGAACCCTAAAAGATCTTTGATTTTTGTTTTATTCAGATCTTTAGTCTTTCTAGAAGATTGTAATTCAAATGTGCTCTAAAACATCATTTTAAAACTTGAGACATGCAGATTAAAGAACAGTAACTAGTAGATTGAGTAAATGAGGTAGGATCACCACATTGGTGGCCCTAGAAGAGCCATGCCTCCTTGTCTTCTTGCCTTTTGATAGCCCCCTCTCACATTGACTACAGGCTGAGTCATAGATTTGCTGTAGCCAATGAAGCAATAGCAAGCATTACTCCAGTAGAGGCTTGATAAATGCTTGCATGTTGGCTTTTCCTTTTATTATTCAGCTACCTTGTTGCCTGAGAATCTGTCATTTTTTAAATTATTATTATTATACTTTAAGTTCTAGTGTACTTGTGCACAATGTGCAGGTTTATTACGTATGTATACTTGTGCCATGTTGGTGTGCTGCACCCATCAACTCGTCAGCACCCATCAACTCGTCATTTACATCAGGTATAACTCCCACCAGTGTATGATGTTCCCCTTCCCGAGTTCAAGTGATCTCATTGTTCAATTCCCACCTATGAGTGAGAACATGCGGTGTTTGGTTTTCTGTTCTTGTGATAGTTTGCTGAGAATGATGGTTTCCAGCTGCATCCATGTTCCTACAAAGGACACAAACTCATCCTTTTTTATGGCTGCATAGTATTCCATGGTGTATATGTGCCACATTTTCTTAATCCAGTCTGTCACTGATGGACATTTGGGTTGATTCCAAGTCTTTGCTATTGTGAATAGTGCTGCAATAAACATACGTGTGCATGTGTCTTTATAGCAGCATGATTTATAATCCTTTGGGTATATACCCAGTAATGGGATGGCTGGGTTCTTATACAGCAGTAACAGACAAACAGAGAGCCAAATCATGAATGAACTTTCATTCACAATTGCTTCAAAGAGAATAAAATACCTAGGAATCCAACTTACAAGGGACGTAAAGGACCTCTTCAAGGAGAACTACAAACCACTGCTCAGTGAAATAAAAGAGGACACAAACAAATGGAAGAACATACCATGCTCATGGATAGGAAGAATCAATATTGTGAAAATGGCCATACTGCCCAAGGTAATTTCTAGATTCAATGCCATCCCCATCAAGCTACCAATGACTTTCTTCACAGAATTGGAAAAAATTGCTTTAAAGTTTTGTTTGTTTGTTTGTTTGTTTAAGAAAGAGAAGCCATATGTGTGTGCAGGAGAATGGGGCCAACAACCAGCACCAGAGATGTGAGTGAGGCCTCTTTGGACATTCCAGTCCTAGCAGAGCTCCAGATTGACAGGCTCACATCAGTGACCCTAGTCAATATTGTGTGGAGTTTATGAGAGTGACTTTATCTAATACCATATAAAGCAGAGGAACTACCTGGCTGAGATGTGCCCAAATTCCTAATGCACAGAACTCTAAGCAATAAATTAATATTGTTTCAAGCAATTGCATTTTGGAGTGGTTTGTTACATAGTAGTAGATAATGAATACAGTAAGTGATAGCAAGGATTTCTTAAAGATTTTTCTATAATTAATTCCAAGGTACTTTCTTCATTGACATACCACTGATATTTCTGCGATCTATTTATTTACTAATGATTCCGTGTCTCTTATTCCTACTAAGCTAACCAGCTGAACAGAACTGAGATGGTTGGTTTATGTGAATAGTGAGTTGAGAATGGTTTTATTGGAATATTGACTCACACTAGGTGATAAGTCCTGCTTGGATCTCAAAGGAACATTGTTCTTGATGATGTTACACATCCTTAAATTAATTCCACTCCTCATTGTGGTCAAACTGTGAGTGGGGCAGTCTGGTAGAAGAAAATTACTTTTAAGGAGTCCCTTGCACATAAACGTTCTATGGACTAATCACATCATTTCCTTCTCATTTCTGTATATGGAATTGTATTTTGATGCCAGATTTTAGGCACTAAAATGCAAAGGGTCTCTAGTGGGATTTGTTTTTTAAGGAATTAATGAAATGTCAGGTTTATTAGACTGAGCAAGCCATTGGCTGTGGGTGTTTCCATCCTTCTTTCTCTGGAAATTTAGTGGAAGAATGCATTAGCAGAAGAACCTGAGGCAGCTAAGTGAAAAGGGACCACTTCTGGTGGATGGTGATACTATTTCATTGAATAGTGTGGATTGTATCGTAAGTTAGAAATGACAGTCACTAACTGCTTCTAAATACAAAATGTCTAGATACCAAGAGAAAAAAGGTGTAACCTGCCATCAGGTATAACTAGTGGTACCATAATTGCTGCTATTTCTGTTGGATGTTCTCTGTGTGCTTATCTGAGGCATTTTCTATCACGTAGGTGTGGAGAAAAAAACGCCAATAAAGAAGAGTTCTGATTAGATAATGATACAAAAGTGACACTTACAGAGAGTAGTATTTGGACAGCACTGTGGATGACCTCCAGGTACTGGAAGTCAACGATGCAGCCTGTGACGGAGACGTACGTGTAATCGTCCATCATGCCATGGGCTGAGGGAGGCAGCACTCTTCTGACACAACCAGGCCCGTGTTCTCTCCACCATGACCGATGTACAGAGATATTGAATGTCATTAGATCGGTGTCCTAGGTGGGTAGGAGACAAAAGAGCAAAATGAGAAAATTGTATTACATCACGTCTTTGACTTTGACCCTAGGAAGAATTCAGGGTGGATGAAATTGTTACAATGATTTCAATTTCAAGTTGAAATTCAAGTTGAAAAGTAACAAAAGACAAAGCCCCAAGTGACTGCATGTATTATATGCCTAAATTATTGGGTTATAATTATTAAATGTGGAGATACAATCCTTTGATTAATATTAACATTTTAAAGGTAACACATTAAAAAAATCCAGAGATGAGATCTTCTATATACTTTTATTTAAAAATAATTTCTACCTTGAAACTTTTTGGCTGTGTTTTCTTGTTGCTGCATCATGAATATCACTATCATGGGATAAATATTGTTGAATGCTTTATGGCATGGTAGATGTTGTTCTAAGTGAATTTCACATACTATATTCTTGAACATTCATGTAGGTACTTTAATGATCAACCTGATTTATAGCAGGCTGAATAATTGTCTCCACCAATGACACTTAGCTTCTAATCCCTGGAACCTGTGAATTTTACTTTATATGGCAATAAAGCACTGTGCAGATGTGATTAAATTAAGGATCATGAGATGGGGAGGTGGTCATGGATTATCTGAGTGGACCCTAAATGCAATCATGTGCATTCTTATAAGAGGGAGGCAGAGAGAGATTAGACATAAGGAAGAAGAGGCAAAGGCAATGTGACCATAGAAGCAGAGACTGGGATGTGGCCGCCAGCAAGGATTTCTGCCAGCCACCAAAAGTGGGAAGAGGCCAGGAAGAATTCTCCTCTAAAGCTTCAGAGAGAGCGTGGCCCTGCCAAGACCTTGAATTCGGCTCAGTGAAGCTGATTTCAGACTTCTGGCCTTCAGAACAGTGAGAGAATAAATTTCGGAGGTTTAAGCCATCAATTTTGTGGTGATTTGCTAAAGCAGCCATGAGAAACTAATATCGGTGAGAAAAGTAAGTCACAGAAAGGTTAACTGAATATGCCCATGGTAGCACAGCTAGTTAGTGGTGAAGCTGGGACATAATACAGTGCAGTGTTTACTTTTAGCTATGACGTGGCACTCTCTCACATTACTTGCTGTCTTCCACCTCCAAAGTCCTGATCATTCCTTATACCCTGAAGAGAGCCAGGTCCTTCCTCCTCAGTTGTTTCAAGAAAATAGCACCACAGTCAATCACAAGAACAAAGAAGACAAACCTTAACTTTTATGTATTAAAATACACTTTCAGAGCTCTTAATGGAAAAAATAGCCTGGTTTTTGATCCTTAAGAGATGCCCTTTAGTATTTCTGGGGTGTTAACCTATGAAGGGCTAAGATCATAATGTTGTGGTCATAAACAATAGATTGAAAAGAACAGATTAGGGACCAGGACCTTGACTCTCAAATAATCCAAAGACTGCAACCACCATGTAGATCAGGAAGAAGAAGGAGTGGTGATAGAGAGAGGCCAAAGCAGTCCCTGGGCCAGGACACTGCTCTGTAGGTTAGCTGGGGATGCAGGAGCAGAGTCAGCTTTTGTTTATTTCCCTGCCTCCACTCCCTCCAAGAGTGAACTCTGTCTTAGTGCCAGGGGGCCAAGTTGGAGCAGGCTCCATACGTGACCTTTGCTGAGAGGTGCAGAGGCTGCCCGCAGGCTATGCAACACAACCGAGGCACATCTGTGCATTCCAAGGTTCCTTTGAGGACAGTCTCCACTTCAGTTGCCAAGGACATACCTAAATGCCTGAAATTGAGGTTGGAACTCTGTAAACTTAGAGGAAGCTAGTGGGAAATGGAAAGCCTTGAACTTACCCATGGGTGGCACTGAAAGTAACCAGGGTGGAGCTCTCTGAAAAGGACAGTAGGGAAACTCTCCTTTTACACTGCTGTATATGGTAAGTGAATCACAAAGGTAGTAACATTCCCAGTGCATATAAGTAGGCAGGGTTACTATGCAGTTTTAGATTTTCCTCAATTCAAGGAATTCAAAGTACCATTATAAGTATGCCTCAAATTATATCAACAATAAAACATGTTACACCTTTTTCCTTTTGACTGTTGGTTTGCTATTCAGTTACCTTCACAGTTACAGAACTTTATTGATAATAAAACATTTAGGTCATTTTTTTGGTTGTGGTTTGCCACCTGTATCATTTGCAGTTAATCTCTGAAGGGAAAATATTATAGAAAAATAATTGCTTCAGCTACCAAATTCAGTTTAACGCAAGGCAATTTACCTGCACACAAACATCAGAGATGCACACTGATTGCTCCCTTTTCTGGTCATCAGATTTAATTTCTTACAGTTAAATGTGCTTACTACAGAAGAACTATGTATTATTTCTCATCTTAATAGAATTTACTAGGTTCAGGATGAACTAGCATGATCTCAAAATTCATAGCGATTTCTATTCCTTAATCATTCTTACCCAGTGACCTATCCTATTGCAGACTGCAAGTTCATTTCAGTATGACTTTACCTAAAATTTATATTATACAAATAAAACAAGAGTCAATTTATGAACTAATCATACATATTTGTTACACTCATAAAACCTTTCAGCATAGGTATCACTGAATTTGTTGGAACTATAACATATTTATAAATGGTACTATTCCTTGCAATGACTGTATTAAAATTTGAATGAGAATATAAATAACATTAAATTGTACTTAAACTTCAAACTTCTTAAGTTTTTTGTTTGAGAGCTCTGAAAATGACACCCCCAAATATGGTGATTTGGCATGCTGAGTACTTGGAACATGAAGGACACTGGAAAAGCTTCAGAAGGAGTCTCTTTCTGACCACCTTCTTCTGCCCTTCTTTCTCCTGCTTTCTTTTCTCCCCAAGGCACGCCATAGAAACTAGAATTCCTCTTCCCTAAGAGAGTTCATAGAACCAGAACCCTACTCCCCCACAACTGGCCATAAAACCTAGAAATATTACTCTACCACTTGCCTTTCTGTGTAAGAGCTAGCAATGAAGAAATTCTCTGACCTACCTTATCCAAAGGTAGACATAAGACTGTTACTCCAGAAAGCTCTTACCCTATACCCAGAAAGAAGAAATGTCATACAGAGAAGCCAAGAAGAATCTGAGCAGACAGGCCTTGTTGTGTTTCCCCATTCAGTCTCTTGCCATTAGGTCATACTTATTTGGTTCAATCATACTTATTTTTTATTTTTTGAGATAATTTCCTTCTGTTGCCCATGCTTGAGTTCAGGGGTCAGAACATAGCTCATTCCATCCTTGAACTCCTGAACTCAAGCCAATTCTCCTGCCTCCCACTCCTGCATAGCTAGGACCATCGCTAGGACCATGAGCCACCATGCCTGAGTCTGATTTTCTTTCTACATGGCTGTGCATTCCACATCAAATCAAAACATAAAAGTAGACAGTTTTCCCTGAATCTTTAAGTCTTCATTTCTGAAGTCTCCCATGTCACGTAAAACTTTGATTGAATAAATCTATAATGCTTTTCTCTTGTTAATCTCTCTTTTGTTTTAGGCGTGTGGACTGTGACCCTTTCGATGGGGAAGAAAAGTATCACACCTTTTCCCCACCTACATTGTAAAATTTTATCTAAAGTTTGTGTCTTATTTCTATCTCAGTACTGGATTATAAACACTTTTTTTTAAACTTACCACATGACAACTCAGTTTTCTATACAAGGCATATCAAAGGAAATACAAAACAGAAAATAACATTTTATAAAGAAAAAGAAACACAAATCACTTTATTGTTGAAGCTTTTAGTTACCACATCAAAGTGTGTAGTTTTGAAATACATGGGTGATATAGTCTGACTGTGTCCCCCACCCAAATCTCATCTTGAATTGCAGTTCCCATAATCCCACATGTGGTGGAAGGGACCTGTTGGAGGTAATTGAGTCATAGGGGTGGTTTTCCCCATGCCATTCTAGTGATAGTGAGTAAGTTTTCACAAGATCTAATGGTCTTAGAAGAGGCTTTCCCCTTTGCTTGGTTCTCATTCTTCTCTCTCAAGGATGAACTTGCTTCCCCTTCCACCATGTTTGTAAGTTTCCTGAGGCCTCCCAAGCCATGCTGAACTATGGGTCAATTAAACCTCTTTCCTTTATAAATTATCCAGTCTCTGGGATGTCTTTATTAGCAGTGTAAGAACAGACTAATACAATGGGTTAACGCTAAACCATAAATCAACAAAGTAATCTTAAAAATAATGTTAATAGTTCAAATGCCGTTTCTCTTTTACTTCTTGGAAACAGACTATTGTATGATGATTTAAGCACATCACAGTTGAGAAGGCTGACAACTGATACAACTGGTGTCTTTGCTTTTGTCTTTAGAGTTAAAAAGATATAAACAATGGCATTTGTATTTATGCAAGCATATGTGCAGGGTAGCAGATATGCCACCCCAAAATGTGCCACTTTGGCATGAGGATTTTTTGAGCTGAAGGCAACTGAGAAGAAGCAGATATACACAGATCTCTCTGTCTTTTTCCTATTTGCCTAAAAGCAAGACACAAATTTACAATGATGTCCTTCCTTCCTTGTCTACCAGTAAAAACTAAAGTTAACTACCTGAGATGACTTTAGACTTTTGTCATCCTGGAGAGGGCATCAGAGAAATGTACATAAGGAACTTTACTAATTAGTTTTTATCTATCATAAGTTTCCTATAACTGGCCTGCCCCACACTCTTCCTTCTTTGTTTTCAGTTGAAGATGTTATATAAGCCTGAATTCTAAGCCACCTATTTAAGAACTGGTATTTTAACCATGGGTGTTTCCTATATATATATATATATATATATATATATGAGATACACATGTTAATAAAATTATGCTTGTTTGTTTCTTGTTAATCTGCCCTTTGTTAAAAAGAGTCCCAGCTAAGAACTCAGAAGGGTAGAGAAAAAATTATTTTTCCTGCCTTACATACATGACTATCAAGGAATAGTTTGTAGAACAAGGAAGAAGAGGGCAAAGAGAAAACAGAGAAACCAGAAAATAAAACA